TAGTCGTGCTGAGAAGTTCTCCCAAGTGACTTTGCCTGGATCTCTGAGGGATTTTGTCGATGATTTCCAAGTTAACATTGAGGAGTTCTTGGAAATGTTCTCTCCAGGGTGTGTTTATTGCCTCATTGTCCTTGAGCAGTTTTTGTCTGTCTTTAAAGCGTAGAGTATTTAGAGCACGGTAGCTTGGACCGTATGTTGCCTTGGTGGCACTGAAGAAGCCTCTTGTGACACTGGCATCTGCCAGCTGCTGGATTTCCAAGGCCTTATCAGTCCACCATTTATTTTTGAGTTCCCTTACTTTCTTCTGGACATCAGCCTTAGCTTTGGCACAAGCCCTTCTTTTAGCCTTGCAATTCATGTCATGTGAATGCTTGTAGGGCTGAGGAATTTCAGCTCAAAAGAAAGATTGAAGAAGTTGGAACTGTTTCCTAGGAGAAGTGAAGGCTTCAAGGAGAGTTTGGAAGCATTCAAAATCTTTGGGTGTCTGCCAACAGCAGATTGGAAGAAACCATTTCTACTCATGAAAAGACTGAGAACCATAAGACTACAAGAAATAGGAACAGAGTAGGCAATTTGATTCCTTGAGCATGTTCCACCATTAGAAGGATCCCAGTTGATCCAACATGTCTCATGTCACTTTCCAGCCTTTTGCAGGAATCTTTAATTCCCCTACTGATCAAGGATCTATCTATCTTAGCCTTGAAAAAAGGACTCTACCCCCGCAGCACTCTGTTCCAAGCAGTTCTGAAGACACTGAAAGCTCAGAAGAAATTCCTCCTCATCTTGGTGTTAAATTGGCATCCCTTTATTCTGAGACTATGCCTTCTGGTCCCAGACTCTCCCATGAGGGCAACCATCCTCTCAGCATTTACCCTGTCAAGCCCTTTAAGAATCACGTATGTTTCAATGAGATCACCTCTCACTCATCTAAACTCCAATGAGTAGAGCCCCAACCTGTTTAGTGCTTGGTCATAAGACAGTCCCTCCATACCAGGGATTATCCTAGTGAACCTTCTCTGCACTGCCTACAATGAAAAAATATCTTTACTGAAAATAAGGAGACCAAAAATTGATCTCACTACTCCAGATGTGGTATCACGAGCACCATGTACAGTTGCAGTAAGACTTCCCTACTCTTACGCTCCAACCTCCTTGAAATAAGGGTCAATATTCCATTAGCCATCTTGATAACCTGCTAGCTTTCTGTGATTTGTGCACAAGTTCCTTCAAGTCCCTTTGCCTTGTAGCTTTCTGGAGTTTTTTGAAACAATAATGATGCTGTTTTGTTCTTCCTTCCAGAATGAACAACTTCACATTTTCCCTTTTGAAAGAGCATAGTTTTTGCTAATCTCGGAAATAACTTTGAATCTACTTAGATCTTTTTCACATATGAGTAGTGAGTGAAAGCAAGATGTGAATGCATTAGAGAGAAATCAGTAAAGATTTATGACTGGTCCTAGGACTGCAGAACTTCAGTTTTGTGGTTAGTGCTGTTTCCTTGGAGAAAACATGGTTGAAAGATATTAGAGATTTTTTTTAAAAAGGGATCCAGAAGGCAGAAAGTGTTCCTATTGGTGAAAGAAGGGTCAAAGATGCAAGATTATTGACAAAAGAAACAATGGTGACACGAGGGAAAACTTAGTGTCAAAGAGCCATACAGCATAGAAATAGACCCTCCAGCCCATGATGTCTGTGCTGACCAACAAACATGAAACTACAGTCATCCCATGTGCCTGCACTTGGTCCATCACCTATTGTGGCCTGGCATCTTAAATGCTCATCCAGATGCTTCTGAAATATTGCAAGAATACCTGCCTCCTCCACTCCTTCAGGCAGCACATTCCACATACTGATCACAGTCTGGGTGGAATTTTTTTTTTCTTTCCTCTGATCTCTTCTAAACCACAAGCTCCTCACCTTTGCCATGGAGAAGTGATTCTCACAATCTGCTCTGTCCATTGCTCTCAATTTTGTGTATCTCAATGAGGTATCACTTCAGCCTTCTTTGCTCTAAGAAAAATAAACCCAGTTTGTTCAGTCTCTCCTCTATCCTTGAGACTTTTCACCCCCGTGAATCTTTTCTGCACCCTTCCCAAAGCAGTCGCATCCTTCGGATTGTGTGGTGACCAGACTGCATATATCTGTGGCCTAACCAATAAGGTTGCAACAAGACTTCCTTGGTCCTATAATCTGTGCCCTGACTAACGAAGGCATGCATCCTGTATGTTGCCTTCACCATCCTGTCTACCTGTGCTGACATCTTCAGGAATCTGTGGACATGAACACCAAGGTCCCTTTGTTCCTTGGGTCCGGAGGGAGTACTACCATTCGTTTATTTGTAGGCTTCCCTTGTAACTCCCAAAATGCATCACTTCACATTTATTGAGATTGAATTCCAAGCTGGTTGGGATATGGAAAATGCACCTGCAAGTGGAGGATGCACGTTCAATTGAGATCTTCAAGAATGAATTGGATTATTATTTGATAACGAAGAACATGCAGCCAGAAGACTGAGAAGTAATACTCAATAAATTGCGCCTCAGGAGAGTCAACACAGACAATGGGCAAATGGCCTCCACTGTGCCCTTTTCTGTAAATCTGGCAGTTTTACATTTACTCTGAAGTATCTGTTAATGATGGGGTTAGAACACATTTTTCTTTTCCATAGCTCCTGTGTAAAGTTCTGGAATTCATTAAGTTCTATCCTAGAATCTGAAAGGGTTCAAATTATTGAAAGCAAACTGACCATTTTGCACCCTACTGGCTGTGAGTAGAATCTAATCACCCGTGTGGTTTCTAAATGGTTTGTAATTAATCGAATGCTTTCTTCTGAGCTATAGATAAAGAGCGTGTGAAAACAAAAGAAGTGTTACTTAATTAAATGTAACATTTTGTTCATTAAATTATTCTTACATTCTCAGTAAATTAGGGTTGTGCTTTTTTGTCTCCTATTAAAATTGAATTTGAGACAATCTGGTAAGTCCACTATTTGCAACTGTTTACAAATTTAATGGTCTCCAGTTTGTATCTTTTCAGTTGCAGCTAAATTTCAGGATTAGGTTATTATTAGCCGGTCTATTTTTTTTGAACTATCCACCATTAAAAGGGCCTTCACATTTGCATAGTTAGTGTGCCGGCAAATTTGGAACCTCGGTCACAAATAGCAAGTTCCCAGGTTTAATCCAGACCATTAGCTTCCCTCAACTGAAGTACAAATAGAAATGATAGTTAGTTAGCCTTGTTTTACCAGTGAAGTCTGCTTATTATTTAATACAAAATAAAAATGGAAAGGACTGCGGATGCTCTAAATCTGGGGAGGCGATGGCCTAGTGGAATTATTGCTGGACTGTTAATCCAGGGACCTAGAGAATGTTCTGGGGACCTGGGTTTGAATCCTGCCATTTGATGGTGGAATTTAAATTCAATAAATATCTGGAATTGACAGTCTAATGATGACTGTGAATCCATTGTCAATTGTTGGAAAAACCCATCTGGTTTACTAACGTCCTTTAGGGAAGGAAACTGCAATCTTTACCTGGTCTGGCCTACATGTGACTCCAGACCCACAGCAATGTAGTTGACTCTGAACTGCCCCCAGGCAATTAGGGATGGGCAATAAATGCTGCCTAGCCAGTGCCTCCCTCATCCCGTGAATGGATAAAAAAAAGGTCTGGAACAAAAACAGAAGTTGCTGGAAAAGCTCAGCAGGTCTGACAGCATCAGTGAAGAAAAAAATCAGAGCTAACGTTTCAGGTCCGGCGACCCTTCCTCAGAACTCTGGTTTTGTTTTTATTCCTGTTTTTGTATTATTTAATACTGTCCAGAGATCCCTGCTGTAAAATGGCTGAAGGATAGATTAAATCATTTGGAAAGAATTGCTGTTCCATTCAAGTGCTGATGTCTTCTAATTCTTGTAAAGGGAAAAATGCAGGATATGAAATTCTGCGGTGGGGGGAGGAATAAAAGAAAAACAATATTAGCACTAATTTAGCACTTTTCACTTGAAAGACATGGCTTAGTTAATACAAGCCTACACAAATGGCTCAGTTAATGTGGATTTGTTAAAGTCGAGGAAAAAGTAGATGCTTCCTATCCTCCTGAGTTTTTCCAGCAATTTCTGTTTTTCTTTCTGATTTCCAGCATCTGCCGTTCTTTGGGTTTTTTGTTAAAGTCAAGTCTGGCAAATGTACTCTTCAATGAAGTGATGGTGATAATTCTTAGCCCATAATTTCCAAATTTGTAGGTGACCAATACTTGGAAATGTAGAAAATAGTGGTAATAACACTGACAGATTTTTAGGAGAATGTGAACAAGTTTGAGAAATGAACAGATACATGACATGAAATTTGTTGGCTAGGAGATTGAAGTTATGAATTTTGCAGGGACAGATGAGAGGCAATAAAAGATCACACATAATTTTAAAGTGAGACGAGGAACAGAAGAATCTGGGCTTCCCAAAACCTTGAAAGTAATGAACAGTTGATACGGCTAATAAAGCATATACCAACTTTTACAGATGTGCAGGTGCTGATGTTGGACTGGAGTGGACAAAGTCAGAAGTCACAGGACACCAAGTTCTAGTCCAACAGGTTTATTTGAAATCTCAAGCTTTCGGAGTGCTGCTCCTTCATAAGGTGAAGTTGAGGAAAGTGCACAGACACAGACATTAAAGCAATACCTTAATGTTGTATCTCCTCAGCTGTAAAATGGCAGCCTATGCGATGCACTCAAATCTTGGATTGAATCCCTTCTGAATCAGAATTGACATTGTTAATGCTGTGCCATTTTGATACTTGTGTAGTCTTGAGACTTTTGCTGCTCTAAATTTATTTATATCCCTTTAGGTAAATAATTACTTTTGGCAGTACTGAATGAAGATCAGCTTGCCCACAATTTTGCTGTAAATATTGAGCAGAAGTATGAAACATCACTTCGGGTAGTTAGTGTCTGTGTGTTTATTTTATGATTTCTTCCCTGACTTGCGCTTTTATGACCAACAGGGATGAAATGGATGATGGTCTCATTTACAGAATTCCTTTGCAACGATCTTTGAATGTGCAAGGGAAATACCCAATTCATGATGACCAAACTCAAGGCTATCTAGACATGATGCCCTCTGGTGACTCATTTAAACGAAGGCCCGACTATGGTTTGCAGGGCTTTTCTCACCGAGAAGAAGGGCGAAGATCAAGTGAACATGGGGACAAGTTAAAGAAAATTCCTTACCCTCACTCGAGGTCCGATGATCGAGGAAGGGATCCTAAACGTTCAAGGCTTGAACACCATAGCCGCAGTAAGGATCATCATAGCAGACAGCAACGTAGCCGCAGTCCGGAAAGACACAGGAGTTACAGAGCTAGAAGTTCTGATCGGCGAAGGAGCATCACTCCTCCTCGGAATCCAAGCAACAGTCATGCACAGGAACATTTTCCATACAGCAAAAGTAAAAATGATGAATTCCGTGAACTGGAAATTGCTCGCAGAAGGAAAGAGCAAGAAGAGAGGATCAGAGCAGAAATGCTACCTCCCCCTCAGCGGGAACTTTCAAACCGCACATATGGTCTATCTGAGCATTTTGATAAGAATATATTAGGCATTCAGCAGTCTCCCAGTAGTAGCTATGTTTTACATAGACCTGATGAGGCTCCACAAATGCCGAAGAAATCTATTCTGAAGAAACGCACAGAACCAGGATTGGAGCCCTCAACTGTAATGCAGGTTTGATCTGTTCTATTTTTAAAAAGCTGTGATTTGTATAAATGCCATCTCTGGGTGACTCAGAAAAGGCTGATGTCCTTTAGAAACGAAAGAAAACAGCAACCAGACTCAAAGATGGCTCCTGAGGAAGTGCATGTTTAGAAAGGTTCTTCAGACCCTGCTCAGCCATTCTTTATGATCATGGCTGATCATCGAGCTCAATACCTTTAATTCTGCCCTCCCCTTGTATCCCTTGCTGTCTTTAGTTACAAGAGCTATATCTACCTCTTTCTTGAAAACATAATGTTTTGGCCTCTACCACTTTCTGTGGTAGTGAAGTCCACAGGCTCACCACTCTGGGTGAAGAAATTTCTCCTCCTCTTAGTTCTAAATGGTTTACCCCTTATTGTTAAACTATGACCACCTGGTTGTGGACTCCCCCACCCAATGGAACATCAATCATAGGTAAGGAAGTAGCTTTTTAGCACTTAAGCTTGTTTCACCATTCCGTGAAATCATGGCTGATCTGTGGCCTGACTCCATATACCTATCTTTGGTCCATATCCCTTAATACCTTTGCTTAACAAAACATTGTCAATCTCAGACTTAAAATTAACCACTGATCCAGCACCTACATCCATTTGTAGAAGAGAGTTCCAAAACTGTGTCACACTTTGTGCAAAGGTGCATCCGAACATCCCTCCTGAATGGTCTAACCCTAATACATAGACAGTGCTCCCAAGTTCTAGAATCCCCAACCAATGGAAAAATGTTGATCTTTATCTGTGCTGTCTTGTTTCCTTTTCTTGAAGACTTTGGTCAGATCGCCCCTTAACCTTCAAAATTCTAGAGGAAACCAAGTCTAATTTCTATAATCTCTCTCCATAATTTAATACCTGATATCCAGATATTCTTGTAAACCAAATTGTACTACTTCCAAGGCCAGTATATTGTTCCTAAGTTGTGGTGCCCAGATCTGCTCTCAGCATTCCGAATGGGGTCTAACGGGTTTTGTATAACTGCAGCATAACTTCTGCACCCTTGTACTTCAGTCCTTTGGATATAAAGGTCAGCATTCCATTAGCTTTCTCAATTATTTTTTGCACCTGTGACATTTTAAATATCTATGTACCTAAACCCCCAAGTCTCTTTGGACATCTATAGTACTTAACTTCATGCTGTCGAGAAAATACCCCAATCTATCATTTTTTCAGTCCAGAATGGATAACCTGTCACTTCCTGACATTGAACTCACATCTGCCACAGTTTTGACAATACACTTGGTCTATCAATATCCATTTGTAATTTACACTGTCTACGTTGCCTAATTTTGTGTTATCGGCAAATATATGTTGTTCAATGCCATTATCTAAGTTTGTTAATATATATATAATGTGAATAATTGAGGCCCTAACATACATCCCTCTGGGTCTTAGCAGTTACATTCTGCCAGTTTGAGTACCTAACCATTATCCCTACTTTCTGTCGCCTGCCACTCAGTCAGTTTCCCAGTGATTTTCCCTCTGTCTATAAGCTTCTACCTCCGTTAACAGTCTCTTATGTGGGTCTTTATCAGATGATTTCTGCAAGTCCATATAAACAACATCCATACACATTCCCACTGTTTTGGTAATCTTTTCAAAAAAAATTCAATGAGGTTTGTCAGGCATAATCTACCTGTCATGAATCCATGCTGACTTAACCTTAAATTTTCAGTTAATTAGGTCTTCAGTTACCCCATCCTCGATTATCAACTCGTATGTCCTCTAGTTTTGGACTTACCCACCTTGGGAAAAAGACCTTGGCTACTCAGCCTATTTACGCTCATATGTGATTGTATAAACCTCTATACCGTCACCCCTCAGTCTCCGATGCTCCAGGGAAAAATGACCCACTCTATTCAGTCTCTTCTATAACTCAAACTCTCTGGTCCCAGCAACACTCTCTTGTACATTTTTTTTGCATTTTCTCAAGTTTAACAACATCCTTCCTATAGAACGGCAACCAGAATATTCCAAAAGAGAATTTTACAGATTTCCATGAGGGTCCCCCACTCATCCTTCTAAGCTGCAGCGAAAGTAATCTTAAGTGACTCAGTTACTCCTCTTCTGTCAGTCTTGCCATTCCCAGGAACCAATTTGATAAATCTTTGTTGGAATTCTCTATTACTAAAACATCTTTCTTAAGATAAGGAGATCAAAATTGCACACCATATTCTGTGTGTGACCTCGTCAGTGCCCTATTTAATTGCAGCGAGACATTCTTGTTCCTGTATTCAACTCCTTTGGCTATGAACGTCAAAATGCAGTTTGCCTTCCTTATTGCCTGCTGCATCTGTGCACTTACTCATAACCCTGTGAACATACAGCACCCAGTTAGGGCTGGAATGTAATGGGAAGAAATTAACCCTCCAGTTGTAGGAACCTTGGTCAGACCGCATATGAGGGAGTATGGTCTGGACATTGCACCTCAGAAAGGATAAATTGGCTTTGGGAGGAGTCCAATGCAAATTCACTAGTGTTACAGGTGCTAAAATGCATAAGATATAGGAGCAGAACCACGCCATTCTGTTTGTTGAGTTTGCTTCAGAATTTGATCATGGCTGATGTGTTTGTCAACTTCGTTTTCCTGCCTTCTCCCTGTAACCAATGAATGCCTGACCAATCAAGAGTGTATCTGTCTCTGTCTTAAATACACTCAATGACTTGGCCTCCACAGCCTTCTGTAGCAATGAATTCCACAAATTCTCTGCCCACTAGTTGAAGAAATTCCTCCTAATCCTGGTTCCATAGGGTTGTTCCTTCACTCTGAGGCTGTACTCTTGGGTCTTAGTCTCTCCTGCTGGTGGAACATTTCCTTCATGTCCACTCTATCCAGGCCTCTCAGTATATTTTAAGTATCAATGAGATTCTGTCTCATCCTTCTAAACTCCATTGCATATAGACCCAGAGTGCTCAACTGCTCCTCGTATGACAAGCCCTTCATCCTTGGGATCATTCTTGTAAACCTCTCTGGACCACTTCTAAGGCCATCACATCCTTCCTTCGATATGAGGCCAAAAACTGCTCTCCAAATGTGTTCTGTCCAGAGCCTAAAACTTACATCTCTGTTCTTGTATTCTAGTCCTCTTGAAATGAATGCTAATGTTGTATTTGCCTTCCTAACTGCCAACTGAACCTGCATGTTAACCTTAAGAGAATCCTGAACTCTGACTCCTTAGTCCCTTTGTGCTTCAGGTTTCCAAACCTTTCCCCATTTCAAAATAATCTTTGCCTTTCTTCTTCCTACCAAAGTGCATAATCTCATGTTAAGGGATATGAAAATAAGTTGGATAAATGACGTTGAGATACAGATCAGTGATGATTGGATTGAATATTGGAGAGCGGTTGGAGGGTTGTATGATATTCCTGCTCTTAAATCTGCATGTGTATGGTGAGTATTGATGTGGAGACTGACAGCCACCCTCCCATACCAGTCTTTAGTCGGTGCTTTGTGCCCGGGAATATGTTACAAACAATTGCCTACAATGTTTAAACAGAGAGCGTGTGTATTAGGAACATAAGTAGGCTGTATTTCTCTCTGAGCTGGTCCACTTATTAAGATCATGGTGCATCTACTTGTAGTCGCTGTTGATTATCATAAAATCCATCTGGTACACTGTGCTTTTGGGAAGAAATTTTTTTTTATTCATTCACAGGATGAGGGCGTCACTGGCTAGGCAGCATATATTGCCCATTCCTAATTGCCCAGAGGGCAGTACAGTGTCAACCACATTGCTGAAAGTCTGGAGTCACATGTAGGCCAGACCAGGTAAGGATGGCAGTTTCCTTGCCTAAAGGACATGAGTGAACCAGATGGCTTTTTCCTGACAATCAACAATGGCTTCTCGGTCATCATTTAGGCTTTTAATTCCAGATATTTGTTGAAATCAAATTCTACCAGCTGCCATGACTGGATTCGAACCCGGGTCCCCAAAACATTATCTGGAACTCTAGATTAACAGTCCAGTGATAATACCACTAGGCCATCGCCTCCCCTTTGACAACCTTACTTGACCTGGCCAACGTTTGGGACACAGAGTGGCTCAGTGGTTAATACTACTGCCTCAGTGCCAGGGACCTGCGTTTTCACCCTCAGGCAACGATCTGTGTGGGGTTTGCACGGTCTCCCCACATCTGCATGGCTTTTCTGTGGGTGCTTTAGTTTTCTCCATCCAAAAATGTGCAGGTTAGGTGGATTGGCCATGCTAAATCGCCCATAGTGTTCAGGGATGTGCAGGCTAGGTGGATTAACCACGATAAATACAGGGTTGCAGGGAGAGGGTAAGGGGGTGCGTCTGTGTGGGATGCTCTTTGGAGGGTCAGTGTTGACTTGATGGGCACAATGGCCTGCTTCCACACTGTACAGATTCTATGATTCTACTTCAGGCCCACAGCCTGTGGTTGACTCTTCACTACCCTCTGGATAATTAAGGGTGAGCAGTAAAGCTGGCCGAGCTGGTGACACCCACATCACATGAATCAATTCAGCAGCAAAAAAATACACCTAGATCCCCCTCTATCTCAGGTCTCCAATCTCTTTCCATTTAAATATTATGTTGCTTTCTGTTCTTTGTCTCTAAGTACACAAGTTTGCATTCCACCTACCCAATTTTTTGCCCACTCAGTTAGCTATCTACAATCTTTTACAGTGTCCTTATCTCCTCTTTATACTTACTTTCCCACTTATCTTTACATCATCAAATTTAGTCAATGTACACTAGGCATCTTATGCCCACCCTCTGTATCCTATTAGCCAATCAGTCCTCTCTCCATGCCAATATTTTACTGCATACATTGCAAGCTCTTATTTTGTCGTATGCCTTGATGTGGAACTTTGTCAAAAGCTTTCTGGAAATCTCAGTATGGTTTCCCCTTATCTATCTTGACTATTAGTTCTTCAAAGATCTCTAATAAATTAGTCAAATGTGATTTTCTTTCACAAACTGACTGACTGACTGAATCTCATTGCTCTAAGATTTT